CATAATCTTGTGATTAATGAATCTGGATTGAATTTTTTTAACACCCATCTATAAAAATGACTGCTTAATCTCAATGATCGTATGTTGTTAATTGGCATCCCAATATTTGAATTTATAAATTTACAAGTATCATCACATATCAATCTGTTAACATAATACTTTGTCCAATAATAACCATTTCTCAAATCCTTGATATCATGTGGATAATAATTATAACCATAATCATAATAATAATCATATTTATAATAATAATTAATAGATTCTTCATTGATGTTATCTATAATATTGATATTACTTATATTATTGCTTCTAATTAAACTACTTTTATCAAAAATTTGAAAATCAATTAATTTTTTTCTGGTCTTATTATCAAAATAATGATAAACCAGTGCTTTAAGAAATACAAGTTCTAAACAATTATCTTCAATTTGCATTCTTAGAAAATCTAAAACTTGAGGTTTTTTCAAATTTCTGTTGACTTTAATAGCTTCTACAACACAACATCCAACAATATCAGATTTTGATTGATTTCTAACAATTTGAAAAGCTTCTAAAAGTGTCATTCCAATTTTATCAATATGTTGTTCGTACAAAATTAGAATATCAGTCATGACAGATTTTGTCAATTTGAACCCAACTTTTATTAATTGTTGTATACGCTTGACAAAGTCCATTGTAGTTGGATAATCACAAGCTTCTTCATTTTTATGATTTGGGTAGAATAAAATTAACAAAGAACCCTGTAAAACCAAATTATTGACATCTTTGCATATATCATAGTAACCAATTTGTTTCCAGAATTCTACTATCTCAGGATAAATTAATATTGCTCTTGCAATTATGTTCAATTGCTTGTTGTTTTCAAATCCATCCTTGGCTGGATATTCTTTACGATTGAGTATTTGCATTTCTATTTGGTAATCAATTGAGTCTTCAAATGGGATAATTGGTCTTGGTGGGAAAGGTATAAACTTTTTATTTAATATAAGATCCTTTATTTTTTCAAGATTTTCAATTAATTTTTTTGGAGCCAAGTCTATGGCTAATGGTCCTCCAGTCAAAAAATGAAACATTTCAATATCATTTCCTTTCAAGGGAAGACTTTTGCCATATTGTAATTTGGCTTCTTTTAACAAAGCTACAAATACTGCTACTGAAATATTCGAGGCCCAAGGATTCCTATAATATTTTTGGGAAACTTTAGATATTCCTTGATCCATGTCATTATTATTGTTGTTGTTGTTGTTGTTGTTGTTGTTGTTGTTGGCGTTGATGTCATTTTGTATTTTTAGTTCAATTAGACTATCGTCGGTTTTTCCGAATTGTAATAATAATCGTTGCGCGAGATACCTGGATAAAATCACGTTTTCTTTGATAAGGAGATCAACCAATTCTAATGATATAAAGTTATGACCGTAGCGAATCGCGTAAAAAAAAGAATGTGCTTTGTCATGTTTTTTAATGAGCCAGTTTGCTCTTACTTTGGGATCTTTTGATATTTTATACCACGATTTATCAGTTAAAATGAGCGAAAATGGGAATTTTGTATTTATAAATATTAATTTTTT